GCTCAACATCCTTAGCCATCGGGAAATGCAAATCAAAACAATTTTGAGATACCATCTCACTCCTGTCAGAATAGCTAAAATCAAAAACACCAATGCAATTTATGCTGGAGAGGTTGTGGTGAAACAGGAACACTCCCCCACTGCTGGTGGGAGTGCCAACTAGTACAGCCACTTTGGAAACCAGCATGGAGATTCCTCAGAAAAATGGGAATAAACCTACTACAAGACCCAACAACTCCACTCTTAGGCATATATACAAAAGATTCATATTCATACAACAAGGACATCTGTTCCACTATGTTCATAGCAGCATTATTTGTAATAGCCAGAACTTGGAAGCAACCTAGATGCCCCTCAACCGAAGAGTGGATAGAGGAAATGTGGTACATTTATACAATGGAGTACTATTCAGCAGAAAAAAACAATGGAATCCTGAGATTTGCAGGCAAATGGATGACACTAGAAGAAACCATCCTGAGCTAGGTAACCCAGTCACAAAAAGAGAAACATGGCATGTACTCTCTCATATATGGATTTTAGACATAGATCTGGGGAGTGCCAGCCTACAATCCCATGACCAGAGACTCTGGGAAACAGAACCTTCATTCAATGGCTGATGGAAGCAGAGGCAGATTCCCACAGCTAAACCCTGAGCTGAACTCAAGGAATCCAGTGACAGAGAGGGAGGACTCATGGGCAAAGGGGTTAAGACTGGGCTGGTTTATCCCCCAGAAGCATCTGACCTGACAAGGGTTAGCTCTTGAATCCCAGACTGATGGCTGTGATTCCAGTATGGGACTGATCAAGACCCCTGAATGTGGGTGTCAGTGAGGAAGCCTGGGTAATCTATTGGGCCTTGGGTAGTAGATCAGTATTTATCCCAGGCATACAAATGGACTTTGGGCACCCATCCAACAATGAGAGATGCACTCTCACCCTGGATTCCCAGGGGAGGGTCTAGGCCCTACCCTGGATGAAATGACAGACTATGAATACCCCCATGGTGGGCCTCAGCCTCCCTGGGGAAATGAGGGGATATTAGAGGGGTTGGTGGGAGGGCGTGGGAGGAGAGGAGGGTAAGGGAGAGGGACCTGGAATTGATATATGTGAAGCAACCTTGTTTCTAATTTAAATTTAAGTTTAAAAATAAAAATTAAAAAACATCAACAAAAAAACAAAACAAAACAAAAAAAAAACAGTTTCCCTCATGAACATTAATTAAAAAATACACAATAAAATACTGGCAAACTGAATCCAAGATCAGTTTGGATCATCAAAAAGATTATCCAACCTAATCAAGTTTCATCTCAGAGATGCAGGGATCATTCTACATAAAAATATGTCAATGAATATCATAACATAAACAAACATAAAGAAAATAACCTCACATGATCATCTCATTGGAAGCTAAAAATATTTAATAAAATCTAATACCTCTTCGTGATAAAGGTCTTGGAGAGATTAGAGAAACAGAGAACATAAATAAACTTAATGAAATCAATACAAAGCAAGTCAGTAGTCACCATCAAATTGAATGGAGCAAAATTCAAAATAATTCCACTAAATCAGTAACAATACTGTCAAATCTCTCCATATCTATTCAATATATTACTTCAAGTTCTAGCTATACTGATAAACCAACAAAAATATTTAGGGCATACATATTGGAAACAAAAATTGAAAATATTACTATTCATAGATTAAATCATAATATACATAATCTACACCAAATATTCCTCAAAGGAATGGCTACACCTGATAAAAACAATCAGCAAAGTGACTGGATACAAGATTAACTCAACAAAATCAATGGCCTTTCAAAATACAAATAATAATCCAGCTGAGAAAGAAATCAGGGAAACAACAGTCATCACAATAGCCACAAATACTGTAAAATTTGCTCTAACCAAGCAAATGAAAAACCTCTATGACAGGAACTTGAAATCTTTGAAGAAAGAAGCCAAAGTAGATATCAGAACATGTAAATACCTCCAGTTTTCATGTATTGTTAAGATTAACATAAGAAAAATGGCAATCTTACAAAAAGTAATCTACAGATTTAATGAAATCCCCATCAAAATTCCAACACAATTCTTTGCAGACCATGAAAGAACAATGCTCAACTTCATACACAACAAAACTCAGGCTAGTCAAAACAATCTTGTTCAATAAAGGAACTTATGGAAATATCACAATTCCTGGTTTATAGCTCTACTACAGAGCTACTGAAATGAAAACAGCTTGGTGTTGGCACAAAAACAGACAGATGGACCAATAGAATGTAATTTAAGACCCTGACAGAAATCAACACACCTAAGAACAACTGGTTTTTCACAAAGAATCTAAAATTACAGAATGGAAAAAAGAAAACCTCTTCAACAAATGGTGCTGCCATAACTGGATGCCAGCATTTAGAAGAATGCAAAACAAATCCATATCTATAGCCCTGTACAAACTCAAGTCCAAGTGAATCAAAGACTTCAACCAACATAAACCCAATCACCTGAACCTCATAGACAAGGAAGTGGAAATTATTTCCTTATAGAACTTCAGTAGCACAGACACTGAACAATTAATAAATGGGACCTCCTGAAACTGAAAAGCTTCTGTAAAGCAAAGGACATTGTCAATAAGACAAAACAGTAGTATAGAGAATTGGGAAAGACCTTAACCAACCTCACATCTCACAGAGAGCTGCTCTCCAAATTATATAAAGAGCTGAAGAAACTAGACATCAAAATACCAAATAATCTGATTTTTATAATGTGTATAGATCTAAACAGCATTTTCAACAAAAGAATCTCAACTGGTTGATGACACTGAAAGAAATGTTCAACATCCTTAGCCATCATGGAAATGCAAATCAAAATTACTCTGAGACTCCATTTCACACCTGTCACAATTGCTAACAGCAAAAACACAACTGACAGCTCATGCTGGAGAGGATGCTGAGAAGAGGCACACTCCTACATTGCTGGTAGGATTGCAAACTTGCACAGCCACTTTGGAAAACAATATGGTGATTTCTGAGGACATTGGGAATCAGTATATCTCAGGACCCAGCTGTACCAATCTTGGAATATACCCAAAGGATAATCAATTGTATCAAAACGATACTTGCTCAACTATCTTCATATCAGCATTATTTGTAATAGCCAGAATTTGGAAACTGCTTGGATGCCCTTCAAACAAAGAAAGAATAAAAAGTCATTACGTTTACACAATGGTGTATCACTCATCTGTTAAGAACAATAACATCCCTCCCTCCCTCCCTTCCTCCCACTCCCCTCCCTCCCCACCCTCCCTCCCTTACTTACTCCTTCTTTCCCCCTCCCTCACTCTCTTCCTTCCTCCTTCCTCCCACCCTTCCTTCCACCCACCCTCCCTCCCTTCCTTCCTCCCTCCTCCCTCCCAACCTCCCTCTCTTCCTTCCTCCCTCCTCCCTCCCTCCCTTCCTCCCTTCCTCCCTTGAGGTAGCCCAAACCCAGAAAGACAAATATGGTTTACAATTACTCATAGGTGGATATTATCTGTAAAATGAAGGATAACCAGGCAACAATCCACACCCCCAGTGAGGCTAGGTAACAAGGAGGACCTAACACCATACACATGGATTTTACTGGGAAGGGGAAATGGAAGAGGTATCTTGGTAAACTGCAGGTAGTTTGTGATAGGAACAAGAGGAGATGAACTTGTGGGCAAGGAAGCATGATAGAATAATGAAAGAGATTTCATACTGTGTGGGGAGGCATTGCGTGGTCAGGTAGATACATGGTACAAGGGAAAACTCCCTGTATTCAGAGTAGTGACTACCCTAATTGTCATCAGAGAGCCTTCATCCAGTAATGATGGAAGCAGATGCAGAGATCCACACCTAAGCACTGGCCAAGCTCTGGGAATCCTGGTGAAGAGAGGGAGGAAAGATTGTATGAGCCAAGGGGCAAAGGTCATAACAAGGGAATCCATAGAGACAATTAACCTGGGCTCATAGGAGCTCACAGACATTGCACTGATAGTTAAGTCAGTACAAAGGCCTGACCAGATCTTCTAAATATTTGTGACATTTATATAACTTGATGTACTTGTGGAGTTCCTAGCAGTGGAAATGAGGCCTGTCCCTGATATTTTGGCAGGCTTTGGGTACCTATTATTCATACTGTATTGCCTTACCAAGACTTAATAGGAGGGGAGGAGCTTAGTCCTGCCTCAACTTGATATGCCTCATGCTTTGTAGACACTCATGGGATACCTGGCCCTTTCTATTCAGGAAATAGAGAAAAGTTTGACAAAACACTCACAAAAGAATCAGTCTTCAAATATTCATTTACATATTTATTTATTAATATGCATGTGTATGTGAGTGTGTGTGTGTGTGTATGTGTGTGTGTGTCTGACAAAGGGGAGAATGGGAGGGAGGTGGGGAGAAAAATTGCAGTCAAGATGTAAGATAAACGAATAAGTTTAATTAATAAAAACTTCAAAAATAATTTTGGCAGACACTAAACCACATGGTGGTCAGTTTTTCAGTTAGGCTTACTAAGTAAAGAGGGTGTGGCAGTAGGACATGGAAGTCACGTACTTTCAAGGATGATATTCACACCTGTACCTGTTCTTTTTCTGGCAATAGAGGGCTTCAACCACACTGCTACTTTAAATGTTCTTACACTTAGCTTCTTACACTTACACTTCGAGCATGAGACAAAAAAGCTATGCTGCATAGAATAGATATTCCTATGAACTATTGTGGTAAAAGTGAGAGCCTTTGCTCCAATTTGTAAGAATATTCTCACCGCCTCAGCTGTACACATGCCAGTTTTGACTTTTACATATTCATTATTATTACAGAGTAGTGCACGCCATACAATCCCAACTTTCCCTTCTATTTCCTTGGGAATTCAGAAGAAATTGCTAGACCTAGTCTGTCCCCATGAATAATAAAAGAAAATATCCAATGACTGTGATAGCTAAGAACTTGACATGTTCCTTCTCATTACTATATGCAATTCATTGTAGCAAGAGAATAAAAATAGATCCTGTGCAGCTTCCTCATTTATCCAGTTCACTGTGTTCACCCAGTGCTATCACTTACACCACAGTAATAGATAGCTTCATCCTCAGACTGGATGTTAGAGATGCTTAAGTAGCGGTGAGCCCCAGAGCTGGAGCCAGAGAAGCGATCAGGGATACCATCCCCTTTGCCGTGGCTTCCATCACTATTAAGATACATCACATATTTAGGAGCCTTGTCCGGATGTTGCTGGTACCATTCAATGTCATAGGTGCTGTGCTCACTACTCAACGTGCAGGTGAGTTTGACTGAGGCTCCCAGGGAAGCAGAGGCAGAGGGTGACTGAGTCAGCACAGGTTGGGAGAAAGACCCTGAAAACAGAGAAACACATTATGTCCCAGAATGGAGAGGGGAGATTGTATCTGGCTGTCAGATATTTTCCCTCAACTGGGATCAGGGTTCAGATGACTCCTGACCTGTGCAATGAAGGAGGAAGAAGAGAAGAGGAGTCCAGGCCATGGTGCAGACACCACTGAGCTCTGCTGAGACAGACATGGTGTGTGTCTCTCTTATCCTTCAACAATTCTCAGAGAACTGACAGAAACCTTTATGCAATTTTTCCTGATCAAGCAAATCCCTTGTCAGGTGTGTGTGCCATCAAATGTCTAGGTGTCACTTCCTGCCTGAGGCTGCCCAAGAGACAACAGTGGCCCCAGCTGTGTGGTTAATGGAGTAAGGGGTTATAGTATCTAAGAGGGGAAGAGGGATGTTAGGACGAAAATCTCCATTCGTGTGGCTAGTTAAGCTAGAAATTTTAATTGATAAATGTAGTAAAAAGGGAGAAAAACACGACATTGGGGTGCACTCTCTGAACCTTTCTCCTGCTTTCTTCATTTTTGTCTGAGAGTGCAGTCTTGTTGTAACAATGGCAACCAGTATAAGTTGTGGGAGGCAAATGGACCTCCATGATCTGAATTAGCATTTTTATCAAATGTTAGATGATTAAAGGGAATCTCCCAGCACTGGACCAAAGGGAAAGGCTGTGTAAAATTCAGAAGCTGTGATTTCCAGCCTTGAGCTAAGAGAAGGGAGCTCTTACTCTTGAGACCCCAGTGAGAAGGAATTCCTTTCTCTGGGGCCTTTTGCAGAATATAAGAAGTGTGAACTAACTCCTTATTGTCATTGGGCATAAAATGTAAATCAAGATGAAAGAAATGTGTGCAAATACAGAAATAATTTACAAACAAATGCTTGGTTTGTAATGGCGTACAACTAACTGTTTGGGTTAATACAAGTGACACATGCTAACTCATACTGATTTATGGAGGGAGGGCGGAAGGTTGGGAGGCAGAGAAGTAGGAAGAAAGGAACAAAGATAGGCTTTTACTACACCTGATTGAATATATGGATATAGGTATACATTGTATCTTACAGAGACCCTTACAACCAGCAACGTGGCTCAGCATGTGAGTGCACTTGCTGCCAATCTTAACAATATGAACTCATTCCTGGAACAACCACAGTTAAAAGAAAAAGTCAGTTTAAGTAACTTTTCCTCTAACTGTCACATTCATGCTGTGGAATTTAAATAACACACAACACACACACACACACACACACTCATGCACATTAATAAATAAATATGTAAATGAATATTTGAAGACTGATTCTTTTGTGAGTGTTTTGTCAAAATTTTCTCTATTCCTGTGGTTTTCACTTTACTTTAGCCATTCATTAGTAGTGTTGGCATTAAAGTATCGGTGTGCTCTACTTATGAAGGAGGTCTTTATGAATCAAGGATGTGTTAAGCCTACTTTACACCCACAGATGCAGGGTCCTTGTGCACCTTCAGTTTTAACAAATGCTGATCTAACACAGGCTACAACTGATGTGGTTTGGATTATGAAATTTTCCTGGTTCCTCCAATTATTGTGTTTCCTCCCACCATATGAAACAAAAGGACTTCCTGAATCCCAGGCTGAACATTACATGCCAAGATTAAGTTTCTTACACTTTACTACTAAAAACTACAGTCATAGCTCTTAGTGCTTTATACTTCACAAAATATTCAACACTGAGTTGCTAATAATAAGTTAATACTTGCATGTTCACACATTCAAGGGTGGATGCCATTGAAGAAAACGGCACCCTCTAGAAGATGCACTTCTTTGTCCTTGCCTAAGGTATTAAAATATTGAAAGACGAGAGACATATTTACCATTTCAGCCTGTAAACTGTTTAACCTTAAATTTTAGTTACAGACATGTGATAAAAATATGAGCTAACATGTTACTGTCCTTGGGTATAAAATGTGAATCAAGATGAAAGTAATATGTTCAAATATGGAAATAATTTACAAATGAATTCTTGGTTTGTAATTTAGCCAGGATGAGAGTAAGGACATACAGCAAATAGTATGGGTTAACACAAGTGAAACATGTTATCTCATACTCATTAATGGAGGAGAGACTTTCAAAATACACATACTGATATAAGCACCCTATGGTACCCTTTCATTCCCTCCTCTATCCCTGTCTTTTTGGGAATAATCTTAGGTGATCATTGGTCAGTAGCTGCAAAGCCACTGTTATCCATATCAGCCTTCCCATGGCAATCCATTATCATCCCCCTGTGTTCTCTAAGGCATCTTATGAAGACATGGAGAACTCACTGTTCTTCAGTAAGAGCTCACCTGATTAAGGACATTTGCAATAGTGCTTAGGATATTATCAATGAGATTGCATTCTGTGGTATTTGTATTTATCATGCCAGCATCATGTTTTTAGGAGGAAAAATGTTTACCTAAAGCCAGAATAGAAATTATTCATGGCTTTTAAAACTATACAATGAATTTGCATTATCTTCAAATGAAAGCTAGTAAAGAAATAATCAGAAACTATGAATGGACAGCCACTTCACTTTTTTAATTGTACATAATTATATTTCATATTACCTTATTATATGAAAGTGTAAAATGAAAATGACTGATCAATTCCTTTTAACATTCCTAATAATTCAGATATATGAGGCACACAATCTCAGTACAGCATGACACAGGAGCAGTAATGTAGTTCTCATGTAAGTTAACACGTCATAATCTGTTATTAATATACAAAGACAACAAATTTTTAAAACATTCTATTTACTAAGATTCTGCCATAGCTTTATGTAATGAGATGCAGCATACCAGGCCTGCCACTCAACTTGTTTGTGGTTAAGTCTCAGCTTCAATATGAAGCTGTTAAAAACGAAAACCAAAAGTCCTGCTTTTTACATGCTAAATGTCTGGTTAATGTGTCATTAAACACAGTAATGAACTGAAGCCAGCAAGAGTCAGGAGTTAAAAGCTAAACATGGGAGCCTAAATAAAATCTATACAAAATGTAAATTCTCTATCACTGGCTACGTAAAAACCCTCTGACTGGTTAAAGCTTGTATAAAACATGCATTTTAGAATTGTTAGCTATCAGTTCATGAAAGTACCAGTGTCTACCAAACAATTCCTCCCCAAAGCCCAAGTGTAGGCAAAATCAATTCAAATGCCATAGCACAACCTAACCCTAAAAACATTCACTTGTTATTACTGAAGTGGAGGCAAGCTGCAGAGCTTTGGGGGCGCTCTCGTGCTGCAAAGGGCTGGGTGTCTCTGGTTCATACAAAGCAATGTACAACAGAGTCGAGACATGCCACTAACCTCAGGCAAGCGCAGGACTGACGGTGCCCAGCTCTGGCCTCCCAAGAAACATGGCTGCGATGTCCACAGAAGTAGTGTGAGATCAAAGGCACGCTGTTCTGGTGGCTAAAGAGATAGCAAACCACCCCCTCTTTAAAAAGCTCCTTCCCAAAGTAAATCAGTATATACGTGGGGAAAAATTAAAATACACTTATCTACATAGTAAGGATTTTGAAATTTTAATGTAATCCCTACTTTGAAAATTATTATTTCTGGTTACATCTTAAAGATGATCCAGATTCAGTTTCTGATCATTTAGCCTTATGTATTTCTAGAAAAAATATTAGCTTTATTCCAAATGCCATAACCACTAGTATGACTCCAAAGTCCTATCTCCCAGAGTCACCAGAACTGGAAGAGGACGGTGGTAAGCAGCAGGCAACCATCATGACCTTCACACCGCAGTGTCCGAGTGGCTGTGACTAGTCCAGGACAAGTCTAAACACAAGGGAATTCATGCACATTACTCCATATGTCATAGTCTTCACAGTTGAGAGCTCCTTCGACATTGCACTCTATGAGGATGCTGGTCTTCCAGACACTACAGTGAATCTGAACTGGAACCAGCAGCCTTCTTTTTCTTCTTCTTGCTGCTGTGCTTCTTATGCTTCCTTCTCTTCTTGGCCTTGTCCTCTCCACTCGTCACCACTTTTCTTCCTTTTTGCTTGCACCTCTTCATAATCCAACTCTGATGACAACTCAGAGGACAGTGCTCTATTGGCATACAGCTTTCTCTCTCTCTCTCTCTCTCTCTCTCTCTCTCTCTCTCTCTCTCTCTCTCTCTCTCTCTTTGCTGAGTCCCTTAGAATCCTTACTTGTTCAGCCACATCCTTTGACTTCTTTTTCTTTTTTGCAGCTACTTCACTTTGATCTACTTTTACAAGAACATAACTGAGAATGCTCCTCTCTGGATATCTGTTGACTCTAGTGCTACAAACTAAGACACAACTAAGGGAGAAGATATTTGAATTCTGTACTTTTAAATATCTATCACAATAGTTAACAAATATATCCCCCCCCCTTGATGGCTCTAACTAGAACATAGATAAAGGCACAGGCTTCCCCCATCTTCTTGTCTGTGGACAGTCAACTTCAGTGTGTCAGCCCTGGCCGTGGGATCCCACTGTCACAGGGCAGAACTTATACTCAGGCTCATTTAAATACATGTTTATGTTTTGCTTCTTCATCTGTGACTCATTGTACTGAGTATAATTGTAATGTAGCATATAATAGCCTTCAGCATGATTTTCAGGCTTGGAGCCCTGAACCCCAGGACATCATCATATTTAAGGTAACAAGTGACAGTAGTGTGAATGCCTGTTAATTGCTGGGGAAATCCAGTCTAAAGTGTTGGCCAGACTACTTCTGGAAACTGTGGGTAAATAAAAGATCAGGAACTGCTGGAGAGTGTCATTCTCCAGCATCACCTCAATTCAGGAAGAGACCCTGAAAAGAATAGCTGAAAAGAAAGAGTCAAGAAATGTGTAGGATCAATCCCAAGGCAGTTCTCTTTAATCTCATTGATAATTGACAGAGATGGAAGAAATCTGGGAAATGTGACAGACATTTAGATCATGCTGTTAATTTCCAGAGATCACAAGCACCCATAGGTGCTCTTTGACTCCAATGGTGATTTCGTGCAATACAAGTCTTTTACTATCACCTGTCATCACTATATTGCATCTTATCAGTAGATGACTCTATTGCCAGGGATACAGGAACACCTTCTGAGTTGCAGCCTCTAATTCCTGGCCAGTAACCTTGTTCCAGGAGATTAAATATGAGTCAGGAGTCAGCTTCAGGTCAATTTTTGATATGTACACAGTGCCCCCTAC